CTGTTCTAGGCCTGCGTGGGAAAAGCAGGAGGAAGAGAAACAGGGCTGGGAGTGGGAAAATATTCACAGATTTACAGATTCCTGTAATAGTAAGTTTCTCCCCAAGTTACCAAATCCAGGACCTTATCTCTGGCAGTGCTGCTTCCTGAGCTCCTTAGATGTCTCCTCCTTCAGTGTTGGAAGAAAAGGAATCTTGCCAGGTTGGTAATTCATTTACTTATTTATTCAACAGATATCAGAGCATATTATGTACTCAGGATGCAGTTTGGGGAATAAAACACACTCTTTCCTCAAGGAGTGAAGACAAATCTGTATATATAAAAGGCTAATATGCTAAGGGACAGTCAGGGTAATGATGTCATGTAGCAATGCCCGCCTTCCTTTCCCTAGGGACTAGCCTCCTTGCAGTTTCTTCAGCCAAGGAACACCACTTGCTCTATAGCCAGGTGGAAACATTTCACACTGTAACCAAATGTCTGTGAAGCGTTTTCCCATGCCTCATCTCATTTGATCCTCACAGAAGTCCTGCAGTAGGTTGATAGGAGACTTGGTGGAATCCTATTTTCTTTTCATTAGCCAGAAAATGGAGACTTAGGAAGCTTAGAAACTTGACCTGACTGAAAAGAAGTAAGAAATGGTGGACCTTGAAAATGGCTTCAGGTTTTCTCACTGCACAGAATATAGTCAAACACTGCTGCAGTGAAATATTTTACCCTTTGTTCTCCCTGCATGATCTACAATAATCTGCTTTGTGTTGATATTTACTGCTGTGTTGCTGAGAATTATCTGAAAGAGAAGTTGGGGTGCTTCACTGGGCTGGAAAAAGCTTAGCTAAATCAGAAAGCAGGTCTAATTAAGCAAGTTTATATCTAGAAAAGGCTAAGCTGACCCACACATGCGCAATACATATAAAGCTCTCACTGGTACCAATTGCACGTGTGTGTGTCCATCTGTCGTTGATTGTGAATTTGGTTGACACTTATAAAGGGAAAATAGTGATATTAAAATATTTATTCTAATTAATTTCAATGTGCACGGATTCGTGCACCAGGCCACTAGTAGAGAGATAATTATAATAGTTTCTAAAGTGAAATGATACGAGGAACATCCGATAAGTCATTATGGGTACATAAAGGAGGAGCACTTGACTGGCACTGTGGTGGGGGCACGACAAGGAGGTGACCATAAAATGTGTCCCCACATGGGAACTGAATGCTAACAGTTGAATCGGAATTGTAGGCACCAAGTTACTCTCTCATCCCATAGCTCTCCATTATTAAACCTGAAGGGCAATACTTGTTTCCTCCAAGGAAATTCTGCCTGAAGTCTTCCCTCCTTTGACCTCGGTGTTTGCCTCTTAGCGCCTTGGCTTTCCTAACTGTAAAAAGAGGGGCTGCTACTAGATGTTACCTTCACACACCCTTAACATGACGGAACTCTAAGGATGCTCACATCCGACTTGTAAAAGCGTCTCCCCAGGAGCAGGTTGGCATGTGCAATGAATGTGTAAACCCCGAAGTTTTTCAGCACCCACGGGAAATGCAGCTTGAATGCAGAAGAACCAGGTGCTCTGCATATATTAGCCTCTCACTAAGGGCTTGTTGAAAAGGATCCACTCTCAGCATTCTTACACCACTCCTGTTGTTCTCCTGGGTTGCTGAGTTTATCGATAGGGTGATAGCACGGCCCTTGTGGATTTGTTGTGAGTTGTCACCATACCTGAGCTCGGTAGCCATTTCTAGCCCATAGTAGGCCATAGATAGCGGCTATTATTTCAGGGTAGCAGGACCAATTGGACCTGCACAGGGAACAGTCACTGAGGAGACAGTCACAAGTGTGGCCATGCTGGTGAGAGAGGGTGTAAACCAAAAGTCTTCATGTTGCAGGTTAGGGCTATTTTAGTGTGAAACAGAAAACAGTGCCCATGTCCCCTAGATCATGTGGCCCTGCCCCCTTGTTCTCGTGCCCACTTCCAGGGCTGTGCTCTCTAGGGGAGGATTCTTGCTGCCTCTTCAGTTTCTGGGGGCTCCTGGCCGCATCCCTTCAATCTTCACATGGCCCCTCCTCCGTCCTCATCCTGTGTGTTCACATGCCCACTCTTATGTGATCACATGGCCCAACTCCCTTGAGACCTTGGATGGTCTGTTTCAGGGGTACCACCTCCCTGGTTAGCTGTCTGCCTCTGCTCTCACATCTGTCAACAGTCCCTTTGCCAAAGTCCTTCCAGAAAATCTTTCACATGCGCCATCTTTTTCCAGCTGGGATTGAAAAGGAGACAGAGCAGTCTGTCCAGAGTTCATGCAAGAGATCCAGAGGGGCATATGCTGTCTCTTTAAGGCCCTTCTGAAGGGTAACCAGGTATGGCTCAATGATTCTTTTCTCTGTCTTTATATTCTGTTGTTGAATCCATCCACTGAATTTTTCATTTTATTTTTACAGTTTATTTTATTGATTTTAGAGGAAGGGGGAGAGAACAAGAGCAAGAGAAACATTGATTTGTTGTCCCACTTACTTATACATTCATTGGTTGATTCTTGTATGTACCCCGACTAGGGACTGAACCCACAATCTTGGCATTATCGGATAACACTATACCCAGTTGGCTACCTGGCCAGGGCCTTGTAGTTCTGTTTGTTTGGTTCTCCTTTATAGCTTCTATTTCTTTGTGGAGATCTTTCCATTTCTTTGCTGAAACTATTTTTTTTTCCCATTTGTTTCAAACATGTTCATAATTGCTTGTTGAAGCATTTTTGTCATGGGTACTTTAAAATCTTCATCAGATAATTCTAATATCTGTCATCTCAATCTTTGCATCTATTGTCTTCTTAAAATTCAGTTTGAGATCTTCCTAGTTCTTGGTATATTTTTAAGAATTGGAACTCATTAGGGGGAACGAACATTTTTGTATTTTCTGAGACTGCTTTGGCATGGGAGGGAGGGGACTTCATGCTTCTAGGTGGAAGTGGAATTTGATTCCCTACTTCACCTCCACTGATACCCAAGGTAAGTTGAGCTCTCTTTACTGCTGGTGGATTGCAGCTCTCCTCATGGTCTCCACTAGTATTATGATGGATGTGACTTCATTACTGCTAGGTAAGGGTGGGAGTCCTAACTCTTCAGTAGATCTCCTCTGATACTACCCTGTGGGAAGGCAAGTGGAAGCAGATATCCAGGTTCCCTACTGACACCATGGAGGGGGAGAGCTCCTTACTGGCTGGTGGGATGAAAATCATGGTTCCCTACTTTGCTTTCTGTGATACCACCCTGGCAGGGGTACAGGGGTGACTGCTTTGATCTGAGTACACCTCTGGGAACTGCCTTTGCCTAAAGTTGATAACCTCACCCTAGGTCTATGCCCCTTTTCTAGTCTATGTGGGGGTATATTGGTCTGGCCATTTGTTTCAATAGGATACACATCTCTGCAGAGCTATCCTAGCTTGAGCTTGTGGGGGGGACTGACTGAGGTCTTTGTTGAGACTACATCAGCTCAACGTCTCTCTCTACCAAATCCTGCTGCCTTCATTCCCGCACAGGTGTTGATCCAGAAAACTCCTCCAATAAACTTCCTGCATGCAAATCTCCAACTCAATCTGTCCCACCAGGACTTCACCCCATGGCGAGTATTTGAACACTGAGATTAGTTGTGTAGATGTTGTGCCTATTGCTCAGCTTCAGAGCGCTTCATGATGTGGAAAGATGCTGTGTTCAATGAGCTTTCCATTTTAATGACAATAGGGATGGGGATCAGAGAAATGGCAAGTTTCAAACAATACCTGTGGTAGACCCGGGTTATGGAGTTCCGGCAAGTGTGAGGTTGGGTAGTTCTCAGTGCAACTACTGACAGACCTTCCAGTCGGGATGGCCTCATGTGAACGAAAGTGCATGTAAGTGCTTAATGGTCTTGGAGTGGTAGCTTAATGGGCTCAAAAATGATGACACCAACCAAGCTCTGGGTTTCTGGTAAGGAGAGCAGTGTCAGTGGTCCCATCTCTAGCCACCTGAACTGCATGACCTCGCACTGTATTTGAGTGTCTCTCACATAATCCATTTGTTAACAGTTGGGTATTTTTCCTACTAATGGACCTTGAACTTATGCAGAACTACTTCATCTCCTATCATGACACATACTCTATAATTACCTAACAACCAGCCCCTATCTTAACTTTGGTCTGGAAACCAAGACTTTTTTTTCAAAATGTTAGGAATTGGTTCAAGAAACAATACAGAAGTTTCTTTTTTAAACTTCTTTCATCCCATTTTTATTTTAGCCAACATTTACCCGTAGGCTTTAATTCAGATTGCCTTAGGAAAGTAGAATCCATTGTGCTTACTCATATTGCTGACTTTATCAATATACCTAATGAGAGTAAGTTTTTGTGTGTGTTTTTTATATCCTCACCTGAGGATGTTTTTTTCTACTGATTTTTAGAAAAAGTGTAAGAGAGGGAGTGAGGAAAGCAAGGAGAGAGGGAGGGAGAAGAAGGGGAGGACAGAGGGAGAGAGGGGAAAGGAACACTGATGTGAGAGAGACACATCGATAGGTTGCCTCCTGCACACACAGCCCGGGTGATCAAACCTGTAACCCAGTGGTGCACAGGCTGATGCTTTAACTGTTAAGTCAGGGTGAAAGTTGTTTTTTTTTTTAAATTTTTATTGATTTCAGAGAGGGAGAGTTAGAAACATCAATGATGAGAGAGAACCATTGATCGGCTGCCTCCTGCACGTCCCCCACTGGGGATCGAGCCTGCGCCCTTGACCAGAATTAAACCTGGAACCCTTCAGTCCACAGACCGATGTTCTATCCATTGACCCAAACCAGCAAGGGTGAGAGTAAATTTTAAGACTAAAAACATAACAGTTTGTTGAGTAATTTGCCCACAGCAACTGTGGGGTGTGGTCTGCAAATGTGTTCTTTCTTTTTAGCAGCAAACCCCAGTGGCTCAAGAGGACATACAATGTGGATGTCCTGTCCCTAGACTACTCAAGCTCAGTAAACACCTAAAAAGAACACAACCTTTTTATTTCTTTTTGAGATATAAATGTTCAACTTGGATAATGAGGATAGGCAAGTACTAAAAACAATGGCTAGCTCTTCCATTTATTCCAATGAATTCCAATGGAGGAAGAGGAAATAGGATCTAGACTGTTTTTGATCTATTGAATATTTACCTTATATCTACAACTTGGTACTTCTTGAGCAGGACTGCCCCAATAAGGCGAGATGTGATAATAGTCGATGGAGATGACAAATTTGGAGAATTCAACATATATATGCAGTTTAGTCCGATGTCCCCATATGGTCTCTAAAATTCTGTATTTGGTCAGAGCTGGCTCATCTTTGCTCCACTGCCTCAGATTCTGCTTCACCACTTTTGAGGGAGAGTAGGTTCAGATCGTCTGGGAGCTGGTGGGGGCCATTTCCTTGGCAGCTTGCTGGGCCAACCAGTACTTGTATCTTTTTGTCTTGGGCCTCTCAAAGTTCACCACAGACATAGGTACCCTGATAGTGTCAAGCCCATTTACCTGCATACAAAACAATAGGAATCCCCAGAGATGAGTTGGGCAGGTAATAGCCAACAACACCCAATCCCAGCTTTTCACCAAGTCAGAAAAAGGAGACAGTATGTAAAATACTCACCGTCACCTCACACCAATACTCGCCCCATCGTGTGATGGGCTCTTCTGGTAACTTTAATGCATGTGGGGCTACCACAACACCAAGCTGGGAAAAAATCATAGAAAAAGAAGCTCTGTTTACATATCTGTCGTTATAGGCAATCTCATAAAGAGGGTTCTAGAATTTCCTGTATAGTTTATCCTGGCTGATCCCACAAGAGGGCAGAGAAGACAGTGGCAGAGAAACTCAGTCCTCATTTCTCAGAAAGAGAGGTGGATTCACAAAAAGAAACAGGGCTAGAGACCAAAATTACAAGAACAATTTTCCAGTGAAGTCATATTTTCTCAGGTTTTCCCGAGAGGAAATAAACTATACCATATTTTCTTATCTGTTTTCAGATTCTATGTGACCAACCTTAGTCCTTAGCCGTTTCCCTCCCACACCCCTGCAAACTAGCCAAGAACACTTTCCCTAACTCTAGCTGGACTCACACCTGTTTCTAACAAAAAGCTCAATCCCAGGCTTTCTTCCCACAGGTAGCTCCCACCATCAGTGGTATAGTACTGTTTGGAAACACTCACGTTTTTTAGAAAATGGCGGGCAACTATTTCAGGGTTTAGCTCCCATTTGACATTGTTCTTCATCCCCACCTCCAGGTGACAGCTCTTCAGAAATTTCACTGTCTGAGAGGAATTATAAACAGAGGCTATGTTAGAGTTAGAAACATATTAGCAAGAGGCACAAGGTCTGAGAGCTCAGGAAAAGGGCACAATTTCTGCCTCACAGCCAGCCAAGACGGTGAGAAGATAAATGGAAAGACAGAGAACACTCTTGTCCCAAGGCTGATAGTGTGGAAAGATGTTTTTGTGACACTTTGGAGGAGAATGTACTCTATATCTGGTTGTCCCTCATCAAGTGGCCGTTTTTCATCAATTGGGGCCACTGGCCCTGCCCAGTTGGCTCAGTTGGTTGTATCATGTCCCATAAACCAAAAGGTTGTGGACTGTTTCTGGTCAGGGCACACATAACTAGGCCGAGAGTTGGATCCCTGGCCAGTCAGGGCATGTATAGGAGGCAACCAATTGATGTTTCTCTTTCCCTTCCTAAAACAAATACACTCAGGGTGAGGATTAAAAAAAAAAAAAGGGAGCCACTGGTACATCTCAGGATGAAATGATTTTCGTAGGCTGTTTTAATTCAATGCTTCTGGCCCTTCAATCACACCCCTATTCCTATTAATGATTCCTCCTTGCTTACAGAATGAAATATAAATTTACTAACGGAGGATTCAAGATGTTTTGTAAATCCTACCCCAACCCCCTTTACAGCCATATGTTTCCTAACATTATACTACACAAGTCCTCTGCGTTAGCTATCTTCTTATACTTTTTCTCCCTTAAGAACACACCCTCCTCAAGTGAAATAAACCAGTCAGACACAAGCATCACATGATCTCACCCATATGTGGACTCTAATGAACAAAATAAACTGATGAACAAAATAGATCTAGAGACATAGAAGCATGGAAGACTGACGAATTTCAGATGGAAGGTGGTGTTGGGAGAGATTACCTGGGACAATAGTGTGGTAAAGGCCTGGGAGGAGTGGGTGCAGGGTGAAGGAGGTCAATCGGGGGAAAAGAGGGGGAACATCTGTAATACTTTCAACAATAAAGATTTTAAAAAAGAAAGGGAGAACCAAGATGGTGGCATATGTAATGCCTCCCACAACCTCATCAAAATTACAACAAATACAGAACATCCATCATGTGGAACCACTGTAAAGCTGGCTGAGTGGAAATTCTACAACCAGAGCAAGAAGAAAGCGCACTGAGACTGGCACAGGAGTGGAGGTGCAGGACATGCAGGTCTGACACCCACCTGTACCGTTTTGTGTTTTTTGTTTTTTTTTTCATTGGGGGGGAGATTGTCTCTATGGAGGCAGCCTGTGAGGAGCCATATCAGACCCCCAACTCGGGGTTTCAGAGTTTGGAAGAGATATCCCTGCAACTACGGGCTGGTTGTAAAAACCAGCAGGGACTGTGGCTGAGTGACAGGGAGGCTGCTGGAGACCCAGGCGCTCCCCTTAAAGGACCCGCACACAAACTTACACGGTCCCACTTCTGAGCTTCAGCGCCGGGAACCCAGACACATAGGTGGAGGAACTGAATTGCCTGGCATCAGGCAGGAACTCGGGGGGCGGCTTTCTGCCAGGCAGGGGCACTCACAGGGACCACTGTTCCTGTGCTGGGACTTTCCCTGTCCCGGGGCTGACAGGCAGCCATAGCTGAGGCTCCGTGAGCCTGGAGCACACTGTATGCTCCACCCTGGGTATTCCCCGAGACCCTGCCCCATCCAATTTGCAGCACCACTCAAGCTGTTTGCAGCAGCTTTTCCATATGCATAGACCTGTCCTGGCTCAGGCTTCAGGCTTCCTAAAATCAAACAAGCTGCAGCTGGTGACAGAGTGCCCCAAACCTATCAATAAAAGGCCCACAACCTGGCACTAGTACCAGCCTCGCCTGGGCACCTCCAAGCCCAATAAAAACAGCAAATGGCAGCTGCCTGCAGATCCCTTTGTAGCTCCTGCCCTCCCTGGTTGTGGGAGGCTGACTTTGCACCTCCCTGGAGGTCCTAGAGCTAGTGCACTAGGTGGGCAGCTTTAGACCATAGCAGATTTCAACTCTATACATCCACAAGGGCACACTCAAGAGCAGTGGTTCTCAACCTTGGCTGCACATTAGAATCACCTGGGGGTCATTTTTTTTTTTTTTTAAATATATTTTATTGATTTTTTACAGAGAGGAAGGGAGAGAGATAGAGAGTTAGAAACATCGATGAGAGAGAAACATCCATCAGCTGCCTCCTGCACATCCCCCACTGGGGAAGTGCCTGCAACCCAGGTACATGCCCTTGACCGGAATCGAACCTGGGACCTTTCAGTCCGAAGGCCGACGCTCTATCCGCTGAGCCAAACCGGCTTTGGCCTGGGAATCTTTTTAAAATCCTGATTTCTGGGCCTCACCCTCCGGAAATTTTGTTTTTTTGTTATGGGGTGGGGCCACAACATTAGTAACAAAGAAACAGAATTTCCCGAGGATGAAGCCCAGAAATCAGGATTTTAAAAAAAGATTCTCAGGTGATTCTAATGTGCAGCCAAGGTTGAGAACCACTGCTCAAGAGGCAGACTCAGCACCAAAGCATCACTGCAGCAAGTCCTCTCCCACTGTGGTCTCAGCTGGTCCTCATAGCCAATTGTCCTAAAGGTCAACTCCTCCCAGTGACGCCAACAACAATCAAGGCTCAACTACAAGACTGTGCACACAGCCCACACAGGGGTGCACCTAGAGTGTCCAGCTCAGGTGCCTGGGGAGACTGAGCCACTGGGACCTCCAGGACACCTATTACACAAGGCCACTCTACCAATTCCAGGAGACATAGCAGCTCTACCTAATACATAGAAACAAACGCAAGGAAGCAGCCAAAATGTGGAGACAAAGAAACATGTCACAAATGAAAGAAATGAAAGTAAGCAAACTACTGGATACAGAGTTCAAAACCATGGTTATAAGGCTACTCAAAGATCTCCATGAAACTTTCAAAGATCTTAGTGAGAATGTCAAAGACATGAAAAGGATCAGTCAGAAAATGAGCATACACTAACTGAAAGAAAGAATATACGGGGATTTAACAATAGAGTAGAGGATTCTGAGAATCAGATCAATGATCTGGAATATGAGGAACCAAAAACACCCAATCAAAAGAGCAAAAAGAATCTAAAAATATGAAGGCAGTGCAAGGAGCCTCTGGGACAAGTTCAAACGTACCAACATTTGCATTATGGGGGGGCCAGAAGGAGAAGAGAGAGAGAAAAAACCTATTTGAAGAAATAATGACAGAAAACTTCCCCTACCTAATGAAAGAATCTTAAAAGCAGCAAGAGAAAAGCAGTTAGTTAGTTACCTTACCTACAAGGGAGCGCCCATACGACTGTTAGCTGATTTCTCAACAGAAATTTGGCAGGCCAGAAGGGAGTGGAAAGAAATATTCAAAGTGATGAATAGTAAGGCCCTACAATCAAGATTACTCTACCCAGCAAAACTCTCATTTAGAACTGAGGGCCAGATAAAGAGCTTCACAAACAAGAAAAAGCTAAAGGAGTTCATCACCATCAAACCAATATTACATGAAATGTTGAAGAATATTTAAAAAGAGGAAGAAGAGATAAAAAATATTAACAATAAAATGGCAACAAATACATATCTATCAACAATTGAATCTAAAAATCAAAATAAACGAACAAGAAATCTAGTGGACAAAATAAACTGGTGAATAAAATAGAATCAGGGGCAGGGAAGCATGGAACAGACTGACGAATCTCAGAGGGAAATGGGGAAGGGGTGCGGGAAGAGATTAACCAAAGGTCTTACCTACGGACGGACACAGACAGTAGGGTGGTGAAGGCCTGGGTGGGTGGGAACCAGGTGGAGGGGGGAATGGGGACATCTGTAGTACTCTCAACAATAAAGATTAAAAAAAAAAAGAAAATACCCTCCTGGCCTATCCAAATTCTATTAATCCCACAAGGCCAAATTCAATCCCATCTGGACAAAAGCCCTCTCCAATCACCCTCGTCCGTTTTGGTCCCTGCCACTCTTCTAATTGACTGTCTTACGTTTATTGATTACTTTTGTATGTGTTAATGTTCTCTCCAACTTGTCTGCAAATATCATCGAGGCAGAGCTTCCCTCTCACTCTCTTCCATGTTGGGGCCTCACTCACAAGGCCAGGGTTTCCCGGTCTCAATACCAGCTATGGCAGCCACAACGCTTCCCCTTTCCCTACCTTGTGTCTGCAATCAAGAGAGTTCAAGGAAATCAGAAACCACTCACGCAGAGGCTGGTGACTCCTGCAGATGATCAACAAATACAGACTTTCTGTGTTTCTACTCACCGCCTCACCGGCCTTGGTCTGGATCCTTTCTAACTTCCCTTCTTTTCTTAGCTAGAAAAGAAAGATAAAGATGAAAAAAAAAAAGTGAGTCCACAGTAAATAACAACAAACTCTTACTATGCTAGGCATGGGCTGGATTTCTGGATTCCTGGTCCAGTCACTATTTCATTTTCAAATTAAATATAAAAGGGACAGAAGTTGCTAGAGGAAATCTTAAGGTCTGAGTCCCCCTGCCTGTCTTTGAGCTCACCAACTTCTCCTCTTCAAACAGCTTCTTGTTTTCAGGGGATGCGTATACAGCCAGTCCCTGAGGAAGCAGCCGGTTCCGGCCCACAGATTTCTCCACCGAAACCAAGTCACCGCGGACTCCGAGCTCTGCCAAAGCGAACAGACACTGGGTCAGACCAGCTGGGGTCCCTAGGGAAGGAATGACCAAAGCAGGAAGCGCCTCTGATTCTCTCAGCTCTGTTCTTCCTGGAAGAATGTTAACATTCACCGGGAACAACATTTAAGAGGCTTCTAACTAGTGAGGGTCTGATTCAGAAGCTTGATATTCTCCATACAAAGCGAAGCGTGTCCAATGCCAGGGTTTCAGGATCGGCGGCGCGTAGGCCTCCCGCCTCCTGCGCCCCGTCCTCCTCCACAGGCCAACATCGCCGATAATCACAGCGCGGTTTACGCCTTTCTCCTCAATCAAACAAAGTAGGAAAGGGCAGGAAAGAGCTGGGGCCAAACAGGCCCGGCCTGAGGTAGAGGCACCCGTGCCCCAGCCTTACCCTCCACCGACTGCGTGAGGATGAGCTCCAGTTTGTCTTTGGGCCGGTGCTTCGTGTCCTCCACCAGCCGGTAGACGCGGTGCCGCCGGTGCAGGCGCGGCTTCCGACCCTCCCCGGCCAGCGGCACCTTCCACCAGCGCTCCACGATGACCGTGCCCTGGCGGCCGGAGAGCGGGTGAGCGAGTCTCCGCGGAGCGACCCCTCCGTCCCCCCTCCGTCCGCCCCTCCAGGGGAGCCCGCCACGGCTCAACGCGCCCCCAGAAACGCGACGGGCGTAAACGGCCCCGCCAAAGTCAAGGGTCCCGTAAGCCAGACCCGGCCCTCACCCGGTTGTGAGAGAGGCTGAAGCCGCGCTCCGGGCCGGGGGTGCCCCCTTGGAGTTGCGGCCGGAGCAGCGCCCCGACTCGTCCTCGCAGTAGCTGCTCCGCGGCCACGCGCAGCAGAGCCCGGCCGGGGACCGCCATGTTCCCGGGCGCGGAGGGGGCCAGGCGGCGGCCCGCGCCTGCGCAAGGAAGGCCCCCGCCGGGTGCCCGCGGCGCGCCTGAGGCGACGCGGATTGGTCCCGGCGGAGCCGAGGGGCAGGCGCGGGGGTCTCGGCTTCCGGCGTCGCGCAGCCGCGAGACCAGAGAACTGAGCCGACGCTCCCCGACTGAGCGTCTCCCTCACGCCCTTCTCCCCGTTCCTCTTCGGGGGAGGGACGCCCACTGTGCCGCCATAGGGAGACCCTCTCCCCCTGGTGTCGGTGTGGCCTCTCAAGTCATGCCAACCTGACAGTCTAGGAAACGACACGGAGGGGTCCCTTCTCCTTCCTTGACAGCTACCTGAAGGTGGTGAAAGGATGGATTGTCTGGAAAACTATACCAGCCCAGGAGCTGTCTCTCTTAATCTTTACAACGGCAGTATTTAAGCTAATATTTAAAGAATTCTCAATCACTAGGGAGATAAGCCCGAGAAAAACTAAACACGACCAGGCCCAGACGGCTCTCTCTTCGGAGGGTCGCAGTGCTGGAGAGAAGAGCAGATAAATGGAATGAGTGGGGTCTGCTCGGCAGAGGAGGTTATGGGGAGACGCTCTATGCTTCTTCCCTTCCTGCGTCACCAGGTTCTTCCGTCTCCTTTGCTGACTTCTTTCTCCCTTCTTAGGGTGGACACTCTTCTCAATACACACACTCCTGACATCTCATGCAGTCCAGGGCTTCCAGTACTGTTAATATGCAGGGACTTCAAAATTCCTATCTCCATCCTAGACTTCGAAGCTCCAGCCTTGAATATCCAACTGCTTATTTATCATCTCCCCCTTACGTGTCTAAGGGACCATGCGAAGTTAGCAAGCTCCAAACTAAACCCATCCCTAGCCTCCTGCCCAAACTCCCTCACCTGGAGCCTTCTCATCTCAGTTGATGGAAACTCCATTCTTTCAGTTCTGGGACCCAGCTTCTTCCTCTCATACCCCAGGAAACCCTGTGGGTTCTAGTTACAAAATCCGACCACTTCCCACCTCCGATGCTTCACCCTGGAATTAGACACGATCCTTCTCAATTGCTGCACTGGTCTCCTGACAAAGCTCCCTTCAATGCTCTGCAGTTACATCAGTCACAATCTTTTGAGAATGTAAGACAGATCATGTCACTCTTCCAGCCGAAACTCTGAAATTACTTCCCCCTTCACTCAGAGTGAAAAAGTCCAGGCGATGGTCTGATAGCTCTCTGACCTCATCTCCCTCTGTTCTCTCTTCAGCTTACACTGCTCTACTCACAGTAGGCTCCTGGCTATTTCTTGAAAACACTAAGGCACAGGGTTTTTTGCACTGTTGTTGTGTAGGCATGGAATGCTCTTACCTTGGCTAACTCCCTCACCTCCTTCACATCTTTGATTAAATGTCACCTTTCCGATGAGGCCCACTTGCGTCACCCTATTTATTACTGCAGCCTGTCCCACCCCCTTCACACTCCTGACCCTCCTTTATCCTGCTCCATTTTTTCTTCATTGCATATTATCTTCTAACATATTAAAGGACTTTATTATGATTACTGTTTTTTCTCTCAGTGTTAGAAGTTATGTTCCATGGGTCAGGGATTTTTTTTACTGATATATCCCAGGCACCTAAAATAGTGTCTGGCTCATAGGCGGCCCTCAAATATTTGTTGAACAGATGAGTGAGGTCTCAAACTGATGGCCCCAGAACTTAATTTTACTCACAATGTTGCTTTAAAACAAGTTTTGAGTTAGTATTTTTTTAAAAATTAAATTTACCACAAAAATCTGTCTAGTTTCTGTTGAAAATCATACAATCTGGTACCACGGAGTCTACATTTCTGTATGACAACTGGAGGGATGGAGTGGAGTTGTGTTGGCTTCTGAGAGACAGGGTGTGAGCTTTCCATTTTGCTACAGCCTCACCCAGAAGCTCCACTAATTCCCTTTAGCTGTCCAGAGCCCTAGAGACAGTTAGTTTGCAATTCCTACAAGGCAATTAGAAAGTTCAAAAATGTGTAGCACCCCTGGGTTGTTAAAGGTAGGGATAATAATGAAAATATTGAATTAATAGAAACCAACCAATCAGGTCAGACCCTGGATAAGGATCTTGGGAGCTTCTTGCAGTGTCAGACACTAACCCTTTAGCTGCTGAATTTTAGGGGAAGTGGTATGTGTGTTGGGAGGGGGCACAACACAAGCCGAGGCAGGGCTGTTTACCACTGGTCCAGTTGTGAAGTGCACACTTGGCTAAAGGGAAAGGGTGGGGTAGGGAAGCAGCAGGAAGAGTCCTAAGTGACATAAGGGCTGACTCCTTGTGCATGTCATAGTGCCCATCAGGTCACAATGGTGCCAGACTGCCTAAATCTTTGTCACCCATCTCTGAACCTCACTTTGCCACAGGGAGGCACTGAACGGAGAAACTGCCTTGTAACAGGTGGCGCCCCTCTCTTTACTCCCTTTCTTATATCAAGAGGGGAAAAACACGGAACTACTACTACCCAATCTGGTCACCATACGCCTATTACTTCTACTGTTACAAATACCGGATCACCCTCCGGGAGAAGATGCTGCCTTGGGCTAGAAGGTACTTGTTTTCATCTCTACTTGTAATAGTTTATGTAAATAGTAAGGAAAAATAAAAGAATTTGGAAGAACTTTCCAAGTGGCAAGAGATGATAATAGCAAAATAGGGTGGAAGGCTGCCATGGAACTTTAGAATTTTTCCAACTGGGCTGACCTGGGAAAATGGAAATAGGCTCGTCTAGGGAAGATACAGAAGACAGTGCCAGAGCCTGGTCCTGCGTTCCTGGAAGTTAGGACCCTCTCCCCACATCAGACTAAGAGGTAAACTAATTTGGGTCTCTTTTTCCCAACCAGCATCACTTATAAGGAACAGGAGGACTTGACACTCCGGCCCCGTTCCTGCCTTCAGTGCTCCTGATTCCCCAGTAGGCCTCCAGATGGGCAGAAGCACCAAGCAGAGTGACCATGATCAGCTTAAAGAACTGTACTCGGTAAGCAGAGTGTGAGCTGGTGCTGTGAGTTGGTGTCAGGAAGCCCCATGCCTACTGTAATGATACCTTGAGGAGAAGGAACATTAGAAAGAGCAAGATGAGACCTCAAAGCTCATGTGTAAAAACTACTTGCTTTATAGACAATGATTCTGCCTAGAGATCTTCAGGTGGTAGTGAAAAGCAGGATGGGAAGAGTAGGTGGGAACCAAGAGCAGAATGTATTGAGACTTGCAGGACATAAGGCTGTTCAGATGCTTACTTGGACTAGAACCCAGAACTCCTGCACTTGCCCTTATATCATTTTGCAATAACATGCTTGTGTGTGACGTTTGCATTTTAGATGAGAAATGGGAGACATTACAGAAAACCCATATGATGGGGAAAAGTGGAAGAGTATTATCAGCGAGACAGTAAACAAATGAGACAGCTTTGTTGCTGGTGTGTCTCAGTGGTTGAGCATTGACCTATGAACCAGGATGGTCACGGTTCTATTCCAGCCAGGGCACATGTTTGGGTTGTGGGCTCGATTCCCAGTAGGGGATGTGCAGGTGGCAGCCGATCAGTGATTCTCTCTCATTATTGATGTTTCTCTCTCTCCCTTCCTCTCTGAAATCAATTAAAAATATTAAAAAAAATAAGCTCTCTGATGTAAATGGCAGTTTCTAAAGGGATAGTACATCCTGAGGTGAGGTTAGCAGGCAGTAATCCTGCATTGAATCTGGATTTCAGACGTTTGGTATCCAGGAGAACTCCATGACAGGGATGGAGTTAGGTCCTAGGTCTAAGAGATCTATATTGTTGAATAAGACATTGGCTCCAACTCTCCCAGGCTCTCCATCAGCCCCTTCCTTGCTTCCTCAGACACCCAAATCGGCCCGAGACCTGTTATGTGAGGACTAGAAGCACACAAAAGCAGGGGACTATTAACCTCATTTGTATTCCTTTTCCAGGCTGGGAATTTGACAGTGCTGGCTACTGATGCCCTGATCCACCAGGACCCAGTGCAGTTAGATTTCCATTTCCGCCTCACCCCCCAGACCTCTGTCCATTGGCACGGCCTTCTCTGTGACCGTCAGCTTTTCCTGGATATCCCATATCGGGCCTTGGATCAAGGCAACCAGAAAAGGTGACTGAGCCTGGATGGTAGAGTCGGGAGGGATGGGGGTTGGGGTTTCACTATTTTATCATGTCATCATCAGGTACTGGGTATACTAGCCAGTGAGGGCTGATTCAGGAGCTGAATACTTTCAAACCAATGAAATGGCATGCAGACAGGCCTGTGATCAGCCTGGATCTGGAGTTCAAGGGATAACAACCCATGGGAGGTTGCTGGATTCAGAGTGAGAAACACAGAAGGGAGAATCCATAAACAGTTGAATAGGATGTGCTTTCCAGCTGTTGACTATAGTCGCTTCTCCCCAGACTCCATCCATGGCATGGATTCAGTCTCATAGTGTACAATCCCTTGGCTTAGGAGAAAAAACTATCAAAACTAGTTTAGCAACTTTCATTTCTTGGCTTGGGTTAGCAAAAACTGACCAATGAGATTTCTTTTGGGTTCTGAGTTCGCTAAACATTTCCATTAACCATGTTTCTCCCTGGCTCCTAGTTTGACTGCAACACTGGAGTATGTGGAGGAGAAGACCAATGTGGATTCCGTGTTTGTAAACTTCCAAAACGACCGGAATGACAGAGGTGGGAATCTGCTCTGTCCTTGGCCCTTGGTGCTGAAGCAGCTAACAGTGACTTTTCCTTTTTAAGAGACCCTCTTTCCCCAACTCTTGAAAAAGGGAATGCTCCAGCATTTCAGTCCCCCCCCCACCCCCGCTAAGGAAATGAAGGTATTTAGCATTCTGTTCAAGTTACAGGTCTATTAGGAAGTCCCTGCAGGTAGATCTCAGAAGCCAGACTAAAGGACCACTGGTGAAATCAGAATCCATTCAAGGGATGTGGCTGGTAGAACAGGAAGGATATTAAATGTATTAAGCACCAACAGTATGAAAGGGTTGGGCATAATGCCAGAATAGGAATATAACTAGATGCTTGGAGCACATGTTATAGAAACCACAATCTCTTCCTTCAAGGACTTCATACTCTGTTGTATTTAAGACAAAGGATGGTCAAGAGTTTATAATACCATCATTGTGTTAGGCACTTCATAAACATCTTGTTTAATCTTTTTTTCCCCTATGGGAATTTACTCTTTATTTTATTGAGGTTAGAGAGAGAGAAGGGAAAGGGAGAGAGGAGAAACAGAACTGGTTGCCCCCACACATACACCAACTGGGGATCAGGCCTGCAACCAGGGTATTGCCCTGAATGGAAACTGAACCCGTGACCTTTCAGTACATAGGACAATACTCCAACCAACTGAGCCACACAGACCAGGGCCATCTTATTTAATCTTAAATTCTGTGAAGAAAGTTCTATAGTCCTCATTTTACAAATGAGAAAAAAAGTTCAGAAGGGTTAATTCGTAAAATGTCACAAAGTAAATGTTAAAGCCAGGGTTAGAGCTTAAGTCTGTTTGAGTCCAAAGCACATCATCCTAATACCTGCACTACACACCCCCTGACATCCATTCCTTAGTGGAAAACAACGGAAATCTGGGGGAACAGTGGTACTGAGTTTGAGTTTTCTAATTTGTTCTCTCTCTTCACAGGTGCCCTGCTTCGGGCCTTCAGCTACATGGGCTTTGAGCTGGTCAGACCAGGTCACCCCGCCCTCCCTCCCTGGGACAATACCATCTTTATGGTGTATCCCCTTGAAAGGGATCTGGGCCGCCTGCCCAGTGAGCCTCCCTGAACATGCTTATTCATACTCCGTGAGGGGCTGGAGGCCTTGATAAGTGGGACCAGGATGTGATTCTGGACACCTCCTTGTATCCTAGGAATAAAGGGTAGTGCAATCCTCCAGTGTTCACTGTTTCTTGGGGGAAAGTTGGGGGTGACTGGAGTGGAACATGGGCCTTACAGAGCTGAATGAATTCACTGTAGGAGAAACATTCAATGACTGAAAAGATCAGACGGAGCTGAACAGAGAGGAAAGGGACACAAGGATTTTAGGTTCCTTTTGCCTTCCCCTCACCCCAAAGCCATTTCCCCATTTATTCTAACCATTTACTGAACAGCTGTCAAGAGCAAGAACCAAGCCTTATTGGGAGATTTTCATTCATATATTTCAGTTCAAATTGGAGACAAGTGCTAATTCCTTCTCTTTGGATGTAGAGATGAGAGGAGGCACATGGGTCCCCTGACTTTGACTCAGGGGACTGCAACAGACAAAATAAGAAATAGGAAGCACAGGCATTCCGGGTAGCAGGAAAGGTACAGGCTTGTGTTGGAAGACTAAGGAACACATCAGAATGGGATGTAAACTGACAAGACTTAAAGGCCACTTAAAGGAACAAACTTTTACACACAGCAGCAAACTGCAGCTAGGAATGAGACACTACTTATTTTCCACAGCAAGAAGTTCTACGAATGATTTATGTTAGGGGTCCTCTCTACTTAACAGTGAAGGCTGAGGAGCTGAGGAAACTAGGGACTAAGTGACCTCATGACCTTGTAGAGTGGCTCCAATTCCAGGGCTAAGCCAAGGTCTGAAAGGTCAGTGGTAGCCCTGCGTTGAATTTTCTAAAACTACTCATCAGAGGTGCTCCTTCACAGGAGGGCCTCTGCTAAGTGGCACTGAGATGTTTAAAAAATATTTTTATTGACTTCAGAGAGGAAGGGAGAGGGAGAGAGAGATACATCAATGATGAGAAGCAAGGATTGGCTGTGTCCTGCACGACCCCCTATTGGGGATCGAGCCCACAACCTGGGTATGTGCCCTGGACTGGGAATTGAACTCAGGACCTTTACAGTCCGCAGGCCAATGTTCTGTCCACTGAACCAAACTGACCAGGGCAAGCACTGAGATTTTTGAGAAAATTTTTGAAAATTGTGGCTATGGGAAAATAGAATTGCCATGTAATATATGGGTAGACCTCGCTCACTAATTCCTAGATTTTAAATTTTTTTCATAGGGAAAGAGGAAGAGAGAGGGATAGAGAGATGGAAACATTGATTAGAGAGAGACATTGGTCAGCTGCCTCCTACAGACCCTCTACTGGGGATTGAACCCATAACCCAGGCATGTGCCCTGACCAGGAATCAAACCGGGACCTCTTGGTTCATGGATCGACACTCAACCACTGAGTCACAATGAGCGGGCACTAATTCCTAGATTCAAAAAAACCTGCACAAGACATCCTTATGTGCTATTTCAAGTTTTCAGTTTACTCTGCTGATCCTTAAAAAAAAAAGTTAATTTGCCATTATCCTACCACCCACACTACATTGATAATATTTACTTCAAGTACCTTCCCAGTTCTCACTGGATCCTGACAATACTCAGAGGAGAGAGGTTTTAGGGAAACAGGCTCCCTAGAGTCCAGAGATTTATTTCTGGAACCCAGGCTTCTAGAATCATATTCCAGGCTTTTATTTCCAATACTTTAGGTGGGGTCTTTTTTACACAGTCCAAACCTAAGTTGGTTCTGGTAACTTTAGGGAAAGAATATGATCTATACACGGAGGAACACTTGTTATAGATGGACCCCTCTATGTGAGGTGTTCATAATTTTCACCAGATTTAGTTTCAGAAGAGATACCCAGAGACCTGCTTCCACCTTGTGATTCAACCAGCATTTAGTTTTAGATCATTTTTTGATAACTTTATTCAGCAAAGAACCCCCTCCCCAAAAACAACGCTTTGAAAAACTATACATGTTTTCTTTCTCTCTCTGGGTGTGTGCATACACAAATATATAGTAGATACTATACTAGCAATTTAGAATATTTCCTGAGCTGCCTCTCTTCTTGCTTATATTTTAACCAAAATGTAAAGGGAAATAGAGTACTGTTTTCAAAAAACCTGTCTCCAATAAATTCAGCAGCTGAGGCTGGGAGGCAGCATTCTTTTCCCAGTTCATGAGGATTTTTTAATATAAATATGCTGATTTTTTCCCCTTTGCCTCCTGACTGAACTGCAGTCTTTGAGTTAGTTCATCATTAAAAAACTTTCCTTACCAGAGTCAGAACTATGCAGAATCATCACCTCCAATGACCAAACCCTGGCTACTTCCCAGCCTCGAAAAGGACTAGCAGGAGTGTGCATTCTGACTGGCGGAGGGGACAGTCATGTTGAACAGCCCGGACAGAATGCAGCCGTATTCCAACCCTGGAAGGGTCGGGGTGGGGTGGAGAGTGGAGTAGGGACATGTATTTGTCTCCTGCCCTACACTCTTTCTGGTCGTCCCAAGGAAGGAGAAAACGCATTTGGTCCACAGCAAGCCAGACTGTGTATTAATAAAGGACTGCATAGAGATCTTTATCATAGGCTCCTCTCTCCAGGTCCCAAATCCTGCCAAAAACACAAAGACACAAAAAGCTTGAAAGGACTCAATCTGAGAGCAAGTTAAGCTGCAGGAAAGCAGCTGCAGAGAAGCAGTGTTTAGATAGGCTGTGGGGAAGAGACTAAGCAAGGCCCCTGTTGTCACCCTCGTTACTTTTCCTGTTGCTACGGATAGACGATAGCTCCACTCACAAAGCAAAGCAGATGGCCGAGGCAGCTGAAGCAGACTTCAGATTAAGTAGTCCTCTTCAAGGTTATCATCACCAGACACAGAGGCAGCCTCTACACAGCAGGGGTGAGGAGAAAGTTAGCCACTGCCCTAATGTAGCAGGCATCGCCACAGGCTCAGGATGCTCAACGGCCACCTGGGTTAAGGGCCAAGCCTGACAAGCTCCCTAGTTTGGAGAGACTGACTGAGAAGTGGTAGCTTCCAAAGACGCTCTAGGGAGTAAATGCTGCTTGTACCTGATAAGCTGAGGCAGGACAGGGTGTTTGCCATCTCTCCAGGGCTCTTCTTACTCTCAGTGAACGTGCTGCTGAGAGAGGCAGCTGCTTCTGTGGCCTGAGAGGATGAAAGCAAGAGGAAAAGGAAGACTGAGCTGGTGGGAAAGGAGCAGCCACTCGGTCACTCTGCTCACAGGACCTGGTTCAGGCAGTTGAGCTTGGTAGCTGAGAGGGACACAATGCCCCTCCGATAACCTAGGAAAGCACTCTACAAAATGTCATGCATGACTAGAAGCCCTCGTGTTTCGCAAGGCACGAGCTTTGCCCCAGAGCAGCACCCTCAATGACTGCAATAGCTCGCTCACTCACCGCATCGTGCAACATGCCTGGGACAGTTCTGTTTTCCTCCATGTCTTCAGGAAGCTCAACTGCATATCCTTTACGAACTAATTCTAACCCAATATCAAGTTTCTGAGAAGAAAAACGAAAAGGGAATCATGCTCTCTCTGTAAGGAAGGGCACATCTGAAGAAACGGCAGGAGAGCTAAGATTGATACTTGAAAGATCTTACAAAGTAGGAGTAACATCAGATAGGTTTCCTGGGACAGAAAAAGTAAATGAATCTATAAATATACTAAAGCTAGTGAACAATGAGTGAACCCCAATCTTACCTTCCCATTGCTAGTATCATATAAGTAGATCTTGGGCCAAGTTGAGGCCCCAGTCTGGACATAGCTAGAGATCTTGGCCACCAAGGGCTTCCAGTCAGCACAGTGAGTAAGTCTGTCAAACTCATCCAAAGCTTCCTCTTCCCACTGTTCACCTGATAAAAGATTGTAGGGAGAGCCCAAGAAGGGGTCAGTGCTGACACGGGGAGGATTATACCCTGGAGGGAAACTGGAACTACCTCTTCCTACTCTGGAAGGCACTTATGTCTGACTGCCAGGCCAGTTTCTGGCTGTTGCTTTCTAGTGCTGGTGAGGAAAAGACACCTGAGCCCCTTTAACTCAAAAAGCCTTGGAATGTGAGGACTCCTCCCATGTGCTGTATCAAAGTTATTCTATTTGGAGGCAAGGTCAGTAAGTGTTGTGACAATTTACCTGCGGGGGCGATCTGCGCCAGACTACACTCAATTGCTTGAAATGGAAGGCTTAGGAAGTCACTCCTAAAGTGAAAGAAATTGACATTAGACTCCTGGTGCCAGAGGGCCTGCTTACATTCCTTGCTTCTGACCCACCCAGCAGGAGAAGATAATCTTCTGTTCTCTGAAATAGGTTCTCCCAAATCCCCCTGTGAGGAGTGCCAACAGCTAGCTCACCACCCTGTGGCTAGGGTTGAGTCAACAGTTGGCACTCCAGCCGGATTCTACTCTGGCCTCCACACTGACCTGAGTGCCCTGAGGTCCCTCACTGGGCAATCTCCATTATCTCCAAAGTCAACAAAGTAGAGGTCCAGGTTCCCATTCTCCAAGGTGCCAAGGACCCGGGCTCGATACCAGGAACCATTTGTAGATAAAGGAGCTGCTACAATGTCTCCTACATGCACAGTTAGGTCGTCAGGCTAGACATGGGGATAAGGAGTCAGGAGGGGTTAGAGTTAGGAAGGGGTAGGCTTAAAAATAAACAGACAGTGTCAGAAGGAAAAAAGAACAAGTAGTTGCTCCACAGGAAAAGGAAAAAAATATACCACAATCAAAAAGATATGCCCTTTTTTTCATCAGACCGAGCCCTGTCCCTTTGGCAACTCACCAGACTATTCCCATAGTGCTGGGTCATCTCATTGACAAGCTTATCCAATTGCAGGCTTCGGGAGCCAATGATTTGGATCCAGAAATGGTTAGGATGTTCAGAAGCAGAGACGTAGACTTCTAGGAACTCATCAGCATGGAAACTGAAGTCAGGACTGGGGACTAAACACAGGGATAAGCAAGTTAAGCTGCAGAATCATCACCATCTAATATGGCAATCATATCAGACTCACCTCTGGTTGGAATGACTAGACTGCATCAGGGGGTACAAATACCAAGCGGCTATTACCATTTTAGAAGTGGCTGGAGGGACAACTGGATGAATCATAAAAGAACATCCTGAAGAGAGGTCTAAGCTATGTTTTGTACTTCCTATATAACTGAGTAATAAGAGAGTTTACATTCTTACTCATCAGCTATGTATTCAAATTAGTCACCAATTATAGTGACGGTAAATCCTTCATATGCTAGCTGCAGCATGGACCAGTGAAAAGATACATGGACAGACAGGGGCTTGTCCAGATTCCATTCCTCCACTGACTCACTATGTGACCCTGGACAAATTTGAACTTCTCAGGGGCCCTATTTTCCCCTGCTCACCCTATACCTATGTATAAAAGACAAAGCTGACAGCCTTTTAATTCTTCTTGAATGGTGATGATTTTTAAAAAAAATGAGACAGGCAAGAAAAATCATGCTGTTTTATTTAATAAGTATGTTTGGTGAAAGAATATCATGTAAATTCATTATTTGATATATTACAGACTAGTTTCCTATGAACTAGAATATTTCTATAGTGTTCTCCACATTAGCTGGTTTATATTCAGAAAAATATTATCTTAAGTACTAATCCAAGTAAAATAGTACCAGAAAGACATATCTGTGATGAAAACTTCTAAGTGTAGTAAAAAATACTTCCTATTTTGGATTATCTAAGCTAGTATTTCTATTTTCCATGTAACTATGGGTTCCCTCTGTTACATACTTTCAAACATGGACATCTCTGGACTGGTCTGGGCTCCAGACTTCTGAAAGCCGTCACCATTAGGTTTCTCCCAGGAACCTTCTTCTGGCCCTGCAACAGCCATGTCACCACCTCCTTTGCAGGGAGGATCTGCCAGCGGAGAAGGCTGCTCCATGCTAGTACTAGTGTTTCTCCATAAGGCTGGCTCTCCAGCTGCACCTGGCTCTGTCACTTCCTCTCTTCTTACACTGATTGGCTGCTTGCGTGGGACTCTGGTTTCTGCAGAATGAGTGATTCTCTTCCGAAGTTCTTCATCTTCTGAAACTTTCTCTAGTATCAAATGCTGTGAAAATCAGAAAAGAGATGATAGCTATGTGGCCAGATATTTTGACCCAGGATGGAATGAAGGGTTCTTCTCATTCTTAGAGATGATCCAAGTCTATCAGCTACTTGCCTTGGCTGCTGTCACTTCCTTCTGTGTTCCTGAGATCTTTATAAGCCTTGATAGTAGTAATGTCCCCTCTGATTCTTTGTCACAGGTAATTTTGGCTCCAGAGGCCTTACAGATGGAACGAATCGTCTCACCACCTCTCCCTACATTGAACAATACATAAAATCCTGTCCTTACATTCTGGCCAACATTAACTGCTAGAGAAATCACTATTTTGTATATACTAGAAGAGAGTCAGTGCCCATTTTCAAATTGAACAGAATGCAAAATATTGAATGGAAAGCAGGAGCTACTAAAATCCCTACTGTAAGAAGGATAGTTCTGGATATTTGCTCTATCCACTTTATTTAAACTCTAACACTGGCTAGGTTAACTTCTTCGTGTCATTTCCATTTTCTGACCACTCAGCATACTTTACATCCCCACTTCATTAGAAGAGATCATACAAGGTGCATGAAACATTGGACCAAGGAAAGGACATTTCTCTGCCTCTAACAGCAGCATAAGTAATGCTCTAGACTAGAGGAAAGCATGACAGGTGCTCTACAGAGCACTGTCTACAATGATTTGGGATAATTGAAGCATCCTCAGCTTCCCTTTAAAAATCCATTATTATACCCTGGCCGGCGTTCTCAGGAGTTAAGGGCATTAGCCCATGCACCGAAGGGTTGTGGGTTCCATTCCTGGTCAAGGCCACATACCTGCAATGCAGGTCCCATCCCCGGCCCCTGTCGGGGTGTGTTCGTAAGCAACCAATTAACATATCTCTCTCACATCGAAGTTTCTCTCTCTCTCCTTTCCTTCCTTTCACTCTCTCTAAAAATCAATGGAAAAAAATACCCTTCTTGCCCTAACTGGTTTGGCTTAGTGGATAGAGTGTCGGCCTGTGGACTGAAAGGTTCTGGGTTCGATTCCCGTCAGGGATACATGCCCGGGTTGCGTGCTTGGTCCCCAGTGGGGGGCATGCAGGAGGCAGCCACTCAATGATTCTCTCTCACTATTGATTTTTCTCTCTCTCTCCCCCTTCCTCTCTAAGTAACAATATACTTTTTTAAAATATCCTCCTCGGTGAGGATTAGCAACAACAAAAATCTATTATGAGGTAAGTAACATTACCTGAACCCTTTTGGAACATATTTGTAAAGTTCAGATCAAACAACTTCTTGAGATGATGGGTTTTACTTTGCCAACAGCTCTGTAAAAAAGTAAAGCTCTGATCTCAATGTCCCTTTTTTTTTTCCTCAGCAAGGTGAAGGGGAAGTAGGCCAGGAAAAACCCTTGGGCAGATGTGAAAGAAAGGCAAAGGTAAAGAATAAAAGGAAACAGTAGAGGAAGCTGTCCAGTGGTACCTATGATTCTGCCCACAGATCTCTGGGGAACTGAGAGCTGCTCAGACACTGGGGCAGTCTCTGTCAGGATCTGATGGATTGCTGCTTTGGCCTTGCACACCTGAACAGGAAAACCACTGATAAGCAGCACCCGCTCATCGCCTACATCCTCCGTGTCCACATCAATCCGCGCACCTGTCTGTTTCCGCAGCTGCAGAGAAAAGGATACATGGCGACATGCTCTGGAAGAGCTCCCCTTTAGCGAAAGACACCCTAAACCTAACCCGGAGGTAGGTGGAACTGGACACAATTATCAGCAAAATCAGGCTGTATAAGCAGTCCTCACTTATAGGAACTTATGGAAGGAGATTAGTGACAAGGGTAACTCCAAATAGCAGTTAATTTAAAACACTTTCTCTTTGTGCTTTGAACCCTCTTTTCTCCTAATTTGATTTGTATTAGAGAATCAAGTATTTTGCTTTCTTGACACACCGCCTGAACAATGGAAGATGGTAAGAAGAACCAGGCAGAAATTCACTATTTAATGTCAATTAATGAGAATTTGAAAAGCAAAAAAGCTAAAATGCAGCCAATCCCCATTTCAAGCTAAATTGTCCATTCTCTAGGGAGAATATTCAATTCTAGAAGGTAAACAGCATATTAGCTAAAAAGTTCCTGTGTTTTTTCTTTTTTTGTGTGTTTTTTCTTTTCAAAATATACATAATGTGGGTGGATTTTGTGGGATGAGGGCAGAGAAGGGAAAGAATCAATCTCTGGAAAAGCAGATTGCTGGCTCACACACTTACCTGTTTAATATTGGCTCCTTGCCGGCCAATTATGAACTTCACAGCCTCCTGGGGCACTCGCATCTCTATCTCAATGTCGTCCTCCCCAACAAACGTCAGCCGCTCTTCTGCACAGATCATGGCTCATCAGATCAGACTTAGATTAACACCCAAAGCTACTACCAGCCCTCCCCTGAACCTAGCTGTCAAAGGGACACTGATCCAAGAGATAAACTGAAAATCTCAACCACAATGACAAAGAGAAGTAGCATCTGAGTGGCAATTAGAAGATCCCCAAAGACCAGAAGATGAGTATTATCTCTGGGATACTGTTACAGATGCTCAGTGTTTTGGTAAAGCGTTTGGCTCTGCACTCAAGAGCTGTTGGACTTTAGGCAAACTATTTCTCTTGGAGAAAAATGAAGGCTAGATGTTGCCCGAGTAGTCCATTAGGCTCAGAACTTCTCCTGTTTCTACAGAAATAATTTCTCTAGGTCCTCTCTAGGTCCAGCCCTTAGGGAAAATTAAACCCCACAGTTAGCTTTCTCCTAACAATTAAATAGAAGGAACATATAAAAAAGATAAGAGTATGGATATTAAAAAAATTAAAAGAATCCACTGCAATGTTGATGTTGCCGAAGAGAACAGATCAATAGAATTATAAAATGAATTCATTTCACATTAAGAATATAAAAAAGAAGAAATCAAATAGTTTCAAAGACTCCTCATGAAAGCCAATTACATCCCAACAAATGATCCCCAGGCTAGCAAGGACAGTTTTCATTTCAATTTAACAAGGCTGTTAAACTGAACATGGTCTGAACATGTCCATATGTACAGCTGTGTGGTTCACATACCTCTGCTTTCTCTGTATCTGCGGTATAGGATGTAGGCAACCGTTGCACTGGCTGGGATCCCGAGGCCCAGTGCTATTTTCTGAGTAGTGGACAAACTTGTCCACGAAGTCCGTTCAGTGGACATTTTCTGCTGTAGTCTGACTTATATCCTAAAATAAGCAAATGAGGGAAAAGAAGGAACTTTCATCCAAGTTCCTTTATGACTGGCAGAGACATATGGGAACACATTATATTATTATTACTATTTATTATTATTATTAAAGAGAATACTACTGCCTACTTTTCTCCATGTTAAGAGCTTGAGCAGACTCAAAATCTGTATCATGTAAAAGGTCTCAGGGTATTTTTTAAGTTAGTTAAGGGACACATACATATACAACTAAATAGAGGCACACTTCATCCCTGCATTGCAATTAGAATTATACACTGATCACAGTTTTAAAAGACAAAGGAACAAAAAATTATTAAATATTTAAAATATTAGATTTTTATTTCAAACTATTTAAAATTTCATATATGCGCCTGTCTATGCTTCCAAGCCTTTCTTGAAGTAAACTTTCCAGTGGTTTCCAGTGCTTAGTAAACAGTAGCCATTCAGTAAGTATTTGGTCAATAATCATTTGTTGAATGAATGAACTTCCTCTACTTCAGCAACTGTTGCCTGCATGTGAACTCATTAATGGCATAAAAGGTTCTTTGTAATCTGATTTCTGCCTACCATTAGATTCTAATCCCAGCTCTACCACAGGCATGTGATGTGCTCTCTATGTATCCTTGCTCTGACGTGTCACTTCTGTCTTCCGAGTCTTACTCTTTAGTCCATCTGATATCCCTGGCAAAAGCTATTCCTTCTTTAGGTCTCATCTCTACCACTACCATGTCTTCTGAGGTCTCTAGGGTTTCCCCTAGCTGACATCAGGTGCGTTTCTCCTTAGCTCACACTGCCCTGTAAATGATGCCTCCATGACAGCACTTGTTCATACTGTAGGCAATGGTTTACCTGCTGTCTCTAGACCACTGGTTTCACCAGAGCAGTTCAACCACATGTATTAAGTAGATGTGCTAGATGCTACAGTATATGTATGAAGATGAAATGATATATGTATTTAATAAAATGCCACCAGCCACTTTACATACATTATTTTATTCAATCTTCATACAATCCTGTGAAATAGGAAGTAACCCATTTTGCAGAAGAGTACACCTGATTAAAGAGGTCACCTAAACTCTTACCCAGAGTCTGGGTTATTATTTGCATATTTAAACACTTTTTTTTTCTTTTTTTTTTTTACAGAGAGGAAGGAAGAGAGATAGTTAGAAACATCGATGAGAGAGAAACATTGATCAGCTGCCTCCTGCACATCTCCTACTGGGGATGTGCCCGCAACCCAGGTACGCGCCCTTGACCGGAATCGAACCTAGGACCCCTCAGTCCGCAGGCCGACGCTCTATCCACTGAGCCAAACCGGTTTTGGCCATATTTAAAAACTTTTAAAGTTACTTTGGAAGCACTCTCAGCGAAACAGTACCTGGTATCTTTATTTTGGTCAACATACTCAATTCAAAATGAATAAATACTGTTGGAAAACACTATAGGTGGCAAAAATAAACAAAGACAGTCTCTATTTCCAGATATTACAATCCGTAGAATAAGATACAATGCAGCTTTTAGTAAGATCTGCTTTAAAATGAGCGAGGAAATGTAATTTATGCTACAATTTGCTTCCAGGTAAAAAAAATTCAACCCTTATGATATAAGAAAAAAAATGGTTGTATCCTAGTAAGCCTAAAAAAAGCACATTCATTAATAAACATTTATTCCTACTTAGGAATAAAACTTTGGTTCCATATGTGCTTTTCCTGAAAGCCTTTCAGGAGGAGTGACAAGGAACAGAAGACCTAGCTCAGAAATCTCATTCTGAGGAGCACATAAACATCACATAAGGAGACTGTAGGTGGATTTCTTACTACTGTCAGTCAGAGGACCCAGTTTTGCATCTGGCCTCAGAGAGCTTTACTGATCAGCAGAAATGAATAAAGGTTGTCAAAAGTTTGACAAATCTATTTTTTTCCTAGAAATTTAATCCACTCTCTTGCCCAGACTCATGGCTTGAATAGAAAAAAACAAAACCTCCTTTTATCACCTCAATGAGGGACTCTTTTCAAGTATCTTGTTATTCTAGGCAATTAGTTACCCAGTAAGTAGACCCAGTATACTATATCACTTTTATTTGTTTATTTATTTATTTATTTATTTTTAATCCTCACCTGAGGACATGTTTATTGATTTTTAGAGAGAGAGGGGGAAGCAGAGAGAGAGGGAGAGAGGGAGGAAGGAAGGGAGAGAGAGAGAGAGAGGCAGACAGACAGACAGACAGACAGACACATTGACCGGTTGCCTCTCAGACACTCTGACCATGGATAGAACCCACAACCTAGGTTTGTGTCCTGACTGGGAATCAAACCTGCAACCTTCTGGTGTATGGGACGATGTTCTGACCAAGTGAGCCTATATCACTTGTAGAGACTGAGTATCAACCCAAAAGATTGTGCCTGCTCCACACGCGCACCCACCTTATAATGGGTAGGAATAAAAGGGTTGAGTTTTAATGTGGGGTTATTAGAGATATGCGGTTCCTTCCCTAACTGGATAAATATCAGTTTCTCTCTCCCCCGCCCCCCTAAGTAGGCTGCAAATAAACCTTTCAACATTTCTGTGAAAGTTTGGGTGGTATCATGTAAACATCTTTTTATATACCAAAGGAAAGGAAACAAGCTTGGCTTCATAAAGGAGATTTCTTTTTTGCTTAATTCTTGAGCCAAAACAACTACCATTTTTCTATACGAAGATATGGTTTATTCTGGGTGTCTAGAAAAGATTTCACTTCTTTTATGTACTGGCTACTTTGTATATTTCCTCATATGGTCTCTAAAATGCAAAGCTTGTCTTCACTATTAATGTGCACCAGTTAATTAACAGTTGTGGGCTGAGCATGCTCAGGACACAACAAGGAATAACTGTTGCCCTGAAATGGTCTAGTAGGAAAGATCAATACCAAACCAAATGGCAATGCAAAAACAATATAAATTTCTGGTTAATGCAACAGCTGGGAAGAGCTAGAACTTAAATGGTTTATTTCTTAGCTGGTACACAGGTGAAAAACCACCCTGTTAAAATGCAAATCATTTATCTTCTGCATTCATAGCAATAAATATATAGTATTCAATGTGTGCGTGGCCTTGGGGATACAACAGCTCAGACAAACTTAGTAGCTGCCTTCAAGAAGCTTCCTATCAGGTAGGGAAGGTCTTATTTTGATCGACAGCAGTTTGCAGGTGTCAAACGTTTGGGGAAACTGAAACAAATCCAGTTTGTGAACAAGATCAGTAATAACTCGATCCGAACTCTAATGCTGTCTGCCTTTACCACCACCTTTCTGGCCATAATTCATGCTTATGGGACAAAGAAATCATAGAATTTTAGAACTGGAAGGGACCACAGACATTACCTAATTCCACTAATAATGTTGCAAGTGGGGAAACTGAGGCCCAGGGAGATAAAGAAATTTCCCTAAGGATACACAGCTAATGAGTCATTTCCACACAATGCGGTTTGAAGACCAGTCAGGAATGGCACCTCTTTAAAGGAGACTCACAGCATTTTTTTGTTTGTTTGTTTGTTCCAGCTCAGAAACTACCAGGATCAAGGCAAAAGGATACCTGATATTCCTCTGGCTCTGCAACCAAATCCCCCCAGTCCTGGCCCTTACACTATATATTGGATTTCACCGCTATGGGCTTCCATAGTATGTACTCCAAACATCCCTTCCCAACACATCCATTGCTTGTGATTTCTGACTAATGGCTGTGTCTGTAGCGAGAACGAACTGGAGGCAGCAACAGTGGAGGCAGGGAGACTTAATTCAGAAGCTAGTCCAGGTGTCAAAGATACAGATGGAGAAAAGTAGCTGGATCGGCGAGTTTTAACAGGCGGCATACATAAGGCTTAGGAATTGATTATGGAAACGTTGGAGGGCGAGCCAGGCAGCTGGCTACCAGGCTCCCCATCTGAGCACCTGGCAGAGGTGGCATCTAAGATAGAGACTACTGACAATCTGGTGGTGGAAGGGGTGTGTGGGGTAGGCAGATGAGTATCTGGGACCAGGATCCATTCATTGGGTGACTTCTATGTGAACCGAAAGCTACATTTTACTAACTTCTCTTTGGATATTACAAATGAAGTGTGTGCCCACGGAGTTATCGGCGGATATCTCAAAAGAACGCCTATCGACTTGACGGGTCTAGTGTTTTGTTTTTATTTATTTTACAACTGACCCATTCTTTCCCACTGCTGTAAGATTCTCTTTAGAAGAAAAATGGGAAATAATATGACGGAAACGGGGACAACTGTACAGTACCGACTGCCAGCTTGTGTTTCATTTTATTACTTCAAATTGAATGTGGAGAGGAGGCGATCGATCACCAGTTAAGGCCACAAGTCCCAGGGGAAGCTGGGAAACGGGAAAAGGAGACGCGGATCACTTCGAGATGCGAAGTGTGGCTCGATGATGGTTTTCATCAGTCAAAGCTAACTCCAAAGCTTCCTGGCTTGTGTATTAAACAGCTGCTAACAACTATCTGACAGGGTTTCGCCTATATCATCATTTCGAAAACCCAGGAGTCAAGTTACACTGTGAGTTCCATCGGGAAAGGACCTGGCATCTCCTCACAACCAGAACCTGCCCAGCACCCAAGACGCGGCGACAGGGTGGTGGGAGTGCCCCGTCCCATTTCCTCATCCTTGCTGCATTTATTTTTAAATCAGTGAGACACAGAGAGAGGGAAAAAAAGCCTCAACCCATTTCTCGAAAGCTGAGAATCTAAAAAATTTAACGTTGGCAGGGGGCTCTTCAGCCAAAACCCAAGAAAATACCTGCAGGGAGTAGGGAGGGGAACTGGGAACACACCCCCCCCCAATTTATTATTCTGACGACTGCAAATAGTCATTTTATTAGAGATAACGAAAGAAAAAGCAGGGGGAAATAAAAGGCAAACCTAAACTGCGAGCGGTGTTCAAAAACAAGCGGTCCATGGAAGTGTCTGAAGTGGCAAATCCTCTCGCACCGGGTGGGCCCAGCGCATCTCCTTGGGCGGCGGGCGGCGGGGTGGGAGGTAACGCCGTCCCGACAGCGCCTCCCCACCGGGGGCTCCGGCCGCCCCCGGGCCCCGCAACCTGGCCTCAGCCTCGCCCGGGGGCGCTCGGACGCCCCCCTTCCTCAGCCCCACGTTTTCCTCTCTTCGCGGCCAGGGGCGCCCCCCGCCAGCCGCTCCGGGCCCCCGCCCTTACCGCTCCTCGAATCAGCTGCCGCGCACTCCTCGCACCTCAGCCCAGCGGCCGGCGCCTCCTCCCATACGCAGCCGCCTCGCAGCTCCGCGGACCTCGCTTCAGACGCCGCCGCCCCGCCCCCCGCAGCCCGCCCGCACCAATCAACGCCCGGCTCGCAGCCCGACCAATCGCCTTCCCCGCCACAACCAATCCCTCCGCGGGTTGCCCCCGAGAGACGGACGGCTGCGGATTGATACCCAATTACCCGGAAGGAATTCGAGGCCGGCCCCACCCTATCAGCCAATAGGACGCAGGGAAAGCGCGCTTTGTTAATTGAAGAGTGCACCGGCTGAGAATTAAACAGCCAATTGGAGGCTTCCCGGAGTCCCCCGGCCCACCTCCGGGCCAATTACCGAGGAGGCTGCCACCTTTTGAGCTTGGGAGGAAAGTCTGCGCTCCCGGGACTGGGACCCAGGTGCGAGCGCGGCCGTGTCGTCGTTCGCACAAATTAGTGCCTTTGTACCATCAAGGCCAGTGCCACCCCGCAACCCGGTGACCATTGGGAAAAGAGTCTCATGATGGGCCACGCTCCGCTGCCTGTTTGCTCTGCGATCTTTTGCCTCGATCGGTTCCCATACTGTGACGGGGGCTCGGGAGACGTGGAAAACATGTTGGGGTGAGGGGGTGGGGGCATAAAAAATAGGCTTCGTAGAGATGGAAAGTGAAGGGGAAGGAGCTGACAGTCAAGAGCGAGGGCCCGCTATTCCTCTGCAGAGGAACGAATAGCCGATGAGGATGGACACGCAGCAGGAAAGAGGAAGAGCCCGAGATGCGAGCGCCCCGGGGTAAGGGAGTTTGCGGGCCCGCCCTTCCCTGGGCCTGGGGGGAAACGGGTCTGGCGCCGGGCGCCGGGGCCCGCTTCTGTGCGGGAGGAGGAAGGGGGTGGGTCTCGGAAGGCCGCGGTTTGCTTTGGGAAAATGCATTCCACCCGCCGTCCGGGCCCGGGACCGTTAGGGACCGTTGGGCCCCGCTCCGGCCTCTGCGCGCGGGCAGCCTCGCCGGCAGCCTCGCGGGCGGCCCTGCGCCCCTCCCAGCGCAGCCCCTGCCCCGCACCAGGACTCGTCCCGGGGCCCAGGGGGTGGGCGCTCCTCGTCGGGCGGGGGTCTTCCGCACCAGCTTCTATCGCCGTGCCTGGCGCAGGATAAGCGCTCAGGGAACGTTGAATGAACGCAAGATTATCTCTTCCGTCAGCTAGAGAGATACCTTCGAGGCTCAGTTTGTCGGTTGTATTCATTTAAAAAGCACGCGTGCTTTGAATAACACATGCACAGTCTACAAAATCCAAAAGGAATAAAGGTTATTACAAGCGAATACATCTTCTTTCCCCCAGAAGCAACCAATATTACCAGATTTTTTGTGAATTTTCACAAGATAGTCTAAACATGCATATATATCATTTAACCAGCTGATAACATACTATCCATACTATTTTGCAATTTCCTTTTATAGAGTCTAGATGTCTTTTCATAGCAGTACATACGTGTCTGCCTCATAGGAAAGTTTCATAGTAAGCCTGAGGGATATATTGATATATTCAACCACGCTTTACTAGTATATTGATACCCAAGTCTATGCCCTTTGGCTCTTGCATATCTGTATAATAAATACTCGGGACTGCAAATACTAGGTCAAAGAATTGTGTGTGGTGTCTTTGTCCCACTTGGATAGGTGCCTTCTGCAAATTCCTTTCCTTCCAGGAAGACTTTTGTCATTTTCATTCCACACCAGAAATGATTAACAGGATATCGGTATAGACAGAATTGCAAATTGCCTTCCATGGAAGTTTTACTACTAATTTTCTCTCCCATCAACATGCTTATGCAATTTGTTACCAAGCTTTTCGATGTTTGACAGTCTTCCCAGCCTTTCCTCCTTGCCTCTAATGGACCCTGGGGCGCACAGGCAGCCTAAGCCCTCCTCCTTCCCCTGCCCCCTGGGGCTGGTCACAGCAGAGGTTCGTTACCTGCGTTCTGTGGGATCTGTGGTGGCTTCAGGATGACTGTGGACAATCTATAAACATTTTTCTTCATAGCTTGCACCGGGTATTCTCAGAGGGATCTGTGACTCAAAAAAGGTTGACAGGCTTCTCATCCTTTGATCAGGGAGCCAGCACAGCGAAGGAAATACAGAAATTAAAATATATCAGGGACCAACATGGGGAGCGCTGAAATGCTGCCAGCGCTCCCCATGTATCTTTGGGTCCCAGTGTCTCTCGGCTTAGGTGACACCCTGTCTGAAATGGAAATGGGGAGAGGTTGAGGGAGGGTGGATGGAATGACCTCCGGCAGGTTCGGTCAAGCCGGGGTAGTCAGAAGGTGGGCCGAGTCAAATCCCCCTCAAGTCTGAAACAGCTCACAGATTGTTCCACCGTACAAGAAATTCCCCGAGCAGCCTCTCTGTAACCTAGGAGGTTGAGGTTAGAACCCCAAAAAGGACCTAGGAAATCTGAAGCCTCTGTTTTAATCGTGAGAGGCTCTGCCAGGCATTTCAGTTCAGTCCATCTGATCCCTGGAATTCCTGCTGCTCTCTGCTGGTCCCTGGGAAAGAGGCAGCAAGACGCTGGGAGAGGTGACTGAGAAGAAAGAGTAAAAACCAACCAATCCTCAGCTTCCTGAGTCAGTTGCATTGCAGTTACTGAAGGAGGTGAGGATTAACAGGTGACCCCGGTGCCCCTAAAAAAGTTGTGGAGAGCTAGTGGGGTGGAAGATGACCCTGGATTTGGCCTTTCTCACGGGTCAGGTCCTGCAGCGGAGAGGCCCTGGAAAGAGTTGCAGGAACATGCAGGGACTAGAGCAGCTTCGCAGTTTGGTGGAGGCATTTGGCTTTTGAGTCGGCCCTGAGTTCCAGTGCAGCTCCCGCCCTAACTGGCCCTGTGGACTCCAGCACGTTTCTTAATCTATTTGACCTTTAGTTCCATGATCAGCTAAGAGCCTCACGTCAATCTTATAGGATTGATGTGAGGGTTAAATAAGAAAGCAAAGATAAAGTCACTGACAGAATAGGCCTCAATAAATGTCTCACCCCGGGGAGAGCGCCATTGATTATCCCAAAGATGTGGACCGTAACATCGCTGCACATGCACACACATGCACACAGCCACCTGTGTCCCTGGTTGCTTCACACACTTGTACACACACACACACACACACACACACACACACACACACACACACACGTCTACACACTGAGCTAAGGGCAGCCTTCCCAGACAGGTGTGATGGGGACTGATTTGCTGATTGTATAGGCCATGGAAGTGCTTATCTGAGTAACTGCTGCATTAAGGGGACTCACTTCTCCAAGGTCTCTGGAAAAGCAGTTACGAAGAATAAGGGATGGCAGTGAGGGGGGGAGAGCAACTCCATTCCCCCCTCCCCCAGCTCCAATGTGTTTCTTGAGCGGTACTTGCCCATCTCTGCCAAGGAGGGCCTAGTCTGGGCCCAGAGTTGTAGTGATTAGAGCTGTGCTGTCCAACACACTGGCCACTGAAAAGAAAACTAGTGGGCCCTGGCTGGTTTGCTCAGTGGATAGAGCGTTGGCCTGCGGACTGAAGGGTCCTAGGTTTGATTCCAATCAAGGGCACATGCCCAGGTTGTGGTCTCATTCCCTAATAGCAGGAGGCAACCAACTCAGGAGTGGAATTTTACATTTATTCAATTTTAATTCATGTAAATGTGAAAACCAAGTCTTGATTTTGTTATTGTAAAACTTTTAATATGTTTGGGACAGCTTGGATGTGTGAATCAAATTTTTCAACAGTGAATTTCATGAAATCTAAATACAGATCAGATATTTCTGGTGAAAATTTACTGATTGAATTGGAATATGCTGTAAGTGTGAAATATACACTGGATTTCAAAGACCTAATATGACAAGACAATGTAAAACAGTTCATCACTAACGTTTATATTGATAATATGTTGAAATAATAGTCTGGGTACATTAGGTTAAATTAAATAAAATGTATAGTATTAAAATAATTTGTGTGTGTTTCCCTTTGCTTTTAAATGTGACATTAGAAAATTTGAACTTACACCTGCGACTCGAACATACTCTATTTCTGTTGGGCTGCCCTGGAGCCTCTGGGACACAGGCAGCAGCACCTCCTGCTCCAGACACGCACCATCTGTGCCCCTCAGGGGGCTGCTCTGACAGCAGTGCGGCTTCCGCTCTCCTCTGCATTGCAGAGTAGGCAACACGAGCGAGAAACACTAGCACCTGACCCCGCTGCCAACATAATCAGATGCTGGTGGAGCATTTGGGAAGGAGGGGCAGGGCTGCGACCCGACAGGGAAGCCTTCCTGGGGTCTTCGGAGCTGGAGAGGGAGTTGTTGGGAGGCGAAGAGAATTGTGTGCAAGGTGGGGATAGGGTTGGAGGCTCAAGGGTACCCATTTCTGAAGATGGTTGATTCTCCAGCTTCAGTCTCCAAACTGCGGGGTCTCACATTCACCTCTGCCCCACTGAGGCGCTGTCCTGGCGGTTGAGTCCCCCTGTGTCCTGGTGGTGCCGGCTCCCCTCCCTCCCTGGGGACTGTAACGAGTGGTCTCCGCAGGACAGGGACAGCAGCAGCAGGAATCAGCCGGGAGGCTCGCGGTGCTGTAAGGGGGGTGAGGGTGGTGGGGGCTCCTGGGGTGGACGCCCTGCAGATGCTGCTGCGGAGAGGCTTGCCAGGGCTGTGAATCTCCACTCTTGGCCCCTCCTCCCTGCTCCTTTTCTCTCCCTTCACTCTTCCCGTCTCGGCTGCTGTCCCTTGAGCGTTCAGCATCTCTACTTTTTCTGGCTCCGCTTTGCCCTCTATTTGAAGCACACTCAGAGGCCGTCAGCATCTCGAGCTCCCGCCCCGCCTCTGCATCAGAGGTCTCTGTCTGACAGTGACCTCACTCAGGAGACGGCTTCCCGCTGGGGCTGCACTAAACCCGGACTGGACGGGGACTGCGGAGGGCAGTGAAGTGCACCCCGAGGCTTTCCTGCGGCTGCCTCTACCTCTACTTTTCAGTACAGCTCGCAGCCCCTCCTCCCTGTTCCTCCAAGCCCAGCCCTGCTCTGTTCTGGGTCTCTCTCCTCTGACAAG